TTGTAAATAGCTCTGAGATCAGGCTTGATGGTTGTTGATGTTCTCTTATAGAAGGAGGGAGTGGACGGGGTTATTACACCCTCTCTTGAGAGACCATCTGCTCCCCCTGGCACTATCTGGCCATTTTGTATATAATTCTGCCCTGATTGCATGTGTTCTTTGGTACGAGTACACAGACTGGGGTGGTTAACTAAGAGGAGGAATTCTATCTACAAAGCTGTGAGGTCGTCATCGTGCAGGGTGAAACTTCCTAGAGGTATGGCCACTTTGGAGTCATCTGCACTCCTGTGAAGTAGCCCTCACCCATAATTTGTAAGGATCCCCACAAACTCATTGGTTCCACAACTTGGGCTGTGGTGGGATTGTACTTTGTGGCTGGAACCCTGTAAGGAGGGGCTAGACATTTCTGGGGAGGTCCCCAGAAAAAAAAAGAGTTATTTTTAAATTTTTTTTAAAAAATTTTATTTATTATGTATATAGTGTTCTGTCTGCATGTGTGCCTATGGGCCAGAAGAGGGCGCCAGATCTCATTACAGATGGTTGTGAACCACCATGTGGTTGCTGGGAATTGAACTCAGGACCCCTGGAAGAACAGCTAGTGCTCTTAACTGATGAGCCATCTCCAGCCCTGGCCCCCAAAGAGGTCTTGCAGCAACCCTCACAAATTGACTTATGGAAGTGGTTTATTTTGGCCCATGATTTGAAGAGAAACAGCCCTTCATGCCTGGGAAGGCTTGGCAGCAGGAGCATGAAGCAGCCGGTGATGTTTCATAATCAGGAGGAAAGAGATGAATATTGACCATCAGCGGGCTTCCTCCTTTCCCCTTTTAATTCAATCTGTGTTATAAGTCTGATAGGATCTAGAATCACTTGGGAGATTAGCCTCTGAGCATGCTCTTGGGGGAATTATCTCAATTGATTGATGTGGGAAGACCCATCTTAGTTGTGAGCAGGGTCACTCACTGGTCAGGGGGTCCTGGACTCAAACGCTGGACACTGGTTTGTATTCCGTCCCTCTGTTCCCAGACTGTGGGTGTCATGTGACCTCCTCCCACTCCTGCTGCCTTCACTTCCCTGCCTTGATGAATTTGTGAAGGGAAATAGCCCTTTTTCCTTCAAGCTTGTTTTTGTCAGAGTATTTTTTCACATCAATGAAGAAGTAACAAGAGAGTCTGAGACCCCAGCCTGTGGGATGGTGCCATCCACATTTAGGGAGAGTTGTTCACTCTCAGTTTCATCTCTCTGGAAATACCTCATAGTCTTACCCACAGGTGTGTCTCCTAGGCAATTCCTAGGCCAGCCACCTCACAGAGTTACCCAGAGGTGTGTCTCCTAGGCAATTCCTAGTCCAGGCACCTCACAGAGTTACCCAGAGGTGTGTCTCCTAGGCAATTCCTAGGCCAGCCACCTCACAGAGTTACCCAGAGGTGTGTCTCCTAGGCAATTCCTAGGCCAGCCACCTCACAGAGTTACCCAGAGGTGTGTCTCCTAGGCAATTCCTAGTCCAGGCACCTCACAGAGTTACCCAGAGGTGTCTCCTAGGCAATTCCTAGTCCAGGCACCTCACAGAGTTACCCAGAGGTGTGTCTCCTAGGTAATTCCTAGTCCAGGCACCTCACAGAGTTACCCAGAGGTGTCTCCTAGGTAATTCTTAGTCCAGCCAATGAAGATTCCTAGTTCATCCTGCAAGGACTTCAGCCCTTCTTAGCCATTCAACGTTTTCTCATGAGGCCATGATACTGCTGGCTGATTCTTTCCATAGGTAAATGGACTGAGGTCCATGGTGGTGCTGTGATGAAACTTAAGTCAACTGGGGAGTGTCTGACATCCACTAGAACAAGTGACTTATTATTTGACTTTGTTGTGTTTTTTGAGTCAGGGTCTCATGTAGTCCAGGATGGGCCTTGAACTCACCATGAAGCCAAGGATCACTCTGAGTCTCTGATCCTCCTGCTTCTACCTCCCAAGTGCTGTGATTACAGGCATGTGACACCATGTCTAGTTTATGTGATTGAAGTAGGTCTTTATGCAACTAAATATTCTGTTAACTGAGCAAGCTACATCCCAACCATCAAACCCTTTGTAGTCCAGGCTCACCTAGAACTCACTATGTAGCCTAGACTGGTATCACCTTTGCAGAGATGCTCTGGCTTTAGCCTCCCCCATGTGCTGGGATTGCAGGCATGAGACTCCACCCCTGGCAGATTCACTTACTTCTCAGTTCCATTTCAGCCACCAGAGCAGGTATTGTCTTGGTGTGTCACTAAGGACAGTGTCCCCTCCCTGATCCCCCGACCCTGGTGTGCAGTAATGCCAGCTGACTCACTTATTTCCTTGGATGACCCTGGGACTTAGTACAAGCCCCAGCAGGAGGAGGACGTGCCCTGTAGCCTTTGGTTGGATAAAGAATGGATAACCTTGCTCAGACCACGTCCTCTGACTCCCATGCCCACGTCTGAACTGCCACCGCTGGTGAGTCATGCTTTTGGCTTCAGCATTGCCAGCTCCAGCTGCTCTTAGCATGTAAATGCTCCCAAAGCTCTATCAGTCATCACCATCTCAGTGTGAATTGGCTGGTATCCCTGAGCAGGCTGGCAGGGACTGTGGTGTGGGTGGCAGGGCTGGGTATCTCATCCATCTCTTGCATAGTGTAAAGATACCCAGCTGGGATGCTGGGTGTGAGCCTGGCACATGGAGGCTCTCAGTAAATATTTTGCTGAATGTTGAATCATGCCAGGGGCTCTTTGGGTGGTGGTGGCAGAGGGGGGGAGGTCCTCTTCGAGAGCTTTTACTGGGAAGTCTCCATCTAACTTCTTGGGCTTCCTCTGCCTTCCACAGAGCCCTTGTGCTTGGGGCTTCTTCCTGGCCACCTATCTGAAAGAAGGCAACATATTGGGGATGTGCCTCTTAGGTCCTAGGGCAATGACTCAGAAAATACAGAGGAAATGCAGAGGCAGGAGGCTGCAACTATTGGTCTCCAGTGTCTTATCTTCTACAATCACTTATTCATTCAACAAACATCTACTGAAACCCAGTGTGCAGTGAACAACAGGCTTGGATCTGAGAATAGCTGGGGAAGACACCCTCTCCTAAAGGAGTCACAACATAATCCATGATACTGCCCACCTCACTGTTACTACTCCTCTCTGGCCTCCCACCCTGGGAGATGTGAGTTTCCTGGGTGATAGACCTGAGCCCCATTCCTCACTGGGTATTCCAGTGACCTCGCACATGGCTTGCCAAACAGTAGGGGCCCAAGAAATATTTGTGGAATGAATTGGGGTGGTAAGGCCCTCCGTGTCACAAGGGAGTGGGTTAGAGAAGTGTGGGAGCAGCTGAGGGTCCCTGAAGGGGACACATGATAAGGCAAATGCTCCTCCATATTTGTTCTACAGCCTTGGGGGTGTCCAGAAGCTGGCCTCATCTTGGCTGCTCTTGTAGTGACACCCACAGTCATGGGAGGGAGAAGAACGCACCACTGGGGTTCCTGAGGCCACGCATTTTGCATGTTTGGTATGGGGTGGGGCAGGGGCTCTCTGCCTCATCTTGCCTTCAGGTTAACCCTGACCTGCCTCCTTCCCCACATAATCGCCCACAGCACACACCCCGGTCTGTTTGCATCCCAATGTACTCAAGCAAGGTGGGTGCCTTGCCAGAGAGGGAGCATCCATGTTAACTGTGCCTGCTACCACCTTAGTTCCAGACAACCAAGGTGGGCAGCACAGAGCTCTGCAGGGCCAGCTGTGGATAGCTTGGAGACACACGACAAGGAACTCCCAGGAGAGCTGTGGCTGGCCCAGAGGCAGAAAGAGATCAACCTCTTTCTTTCCCTGGGAACAACATTACTATCCCTGTTCCCACACTTAATCTTGGTCAGCTAAGTTCAGGGTATTCAGGCATATGACCCGAGTCAAGGAGGGCCAGGCACCCGATCCTCCTGGGGACACTGAGCTCCCAAGTTGACCCAGTAATCAGCCAGTCTACTGACTTCCCTGAGCCAGCTCAGCTAGGATTTTTTTTTAATCTTGGGGAACTTGGGGACTGTACAAAGTGGAGTATAGAGCCTCTGACTGCAGTAGTGTTTCATTCAGCCTTATTTCTCCCCACAAGCAGGTCTGATTTTAGCAACTCACATTGGGCAGAGGGACATGCTCGTCTGGGAGGATGTTGCAGGTTCCTGCTTGCAGTGAGGGGCTACAAGTGCAGGACACTGACTCAAGAACCATCCACACCGTCCCACAGCACCCAGCTTTCCAAAGCCCAGCTCCAAGGCCCTTTGTGGGGGTCCCAGGATATGTGAGTTCTTTCCAATCGTAGGGAGGGGGCAGGAGGGTGCACATAGGCCATGGCTCATGCTGTGGGGTTGGCCTGCTCCTGGGAGTTCAGGTAAGAAATGACTCACCTGAGGTTCACCTGCAGTGACAACTGGGAGGAAGCACCAGGGACACTTGGCCAAATGGCCAAGAGGCCATGATGCCCTCACCCTTGGGGCCTGAGTCACAGCTTTCAGGGAAGTGGGCTAACGGGATTCCAGGGCTCCAAGTGATTGGATTGAGTCATGGAAGCAGCCAGGGTGCTGTACTTGGGCCGTTAAGGAGCAAGGTTACCCTGGCAACCCCCCAGCCAAAGGCCCTAGGGGCTCCCCAGCTATAGCCACTCCAGGCTGAACCACTTTTTACCCCAAATGCTCTGTAAGCTGCAGGATCTCTGTTTACCTGGACAGTCAATGAAAAAGCCAGACCCTAGAGAGTCAGCAAGTTTTCACAGGACCTCTACAGAATACACCCTGGGCATGGAGCCAGAGCCCGAGTCTCCCATCCAGTCACTGCCCCTAGGCCCAGTAACAGGTTGCTTCCTCCTGGCAGCCCCACCTCCTCCCTGACCCACAGTCTGGGTGGCCCAGTCACCAGCTGGGGGACTGGTTCAACAGCATTCCTCCTCACGGGATAAAACCTGGGGCGACCTGTAGGGAGCTACACACTACAGCCACCAGCCCTGCCAGTCCCAACTAGCACAGCCCTTAGGTCCTTAGAGATGGCCAGCAGCTTGGCTGGTGCTCCACCCCTACCAGCCACGGTGATTTCCAGACCTCCCCCAGCACTGGGTGGGAACCAGTTCAGGATTGTAGTCTTTCTGGTGCTTCTGACTGCCACAGGTGAGCCTCGAGGCCTGCTGCTCCTCCCCTCCTCCTCTCTTTCCTCCTCCTTCCTGCCCATAGTCCCTCCTCCTTGCCTGCCTCTTGACTTAGCACCTTCCCTTGAGTTTGCTCTCTCCTCTTTCCATTGTTCCCTTCCATCTCCCTGAGCACCTGTCTCTGTCCCCTGCCTCTGCCATGCTGTTTGGCTCCATGCCCCGAGCCTCAGTTTCCCTAGCAGCTATGAGGATTGGATGTGGGTGAGTGCTCCGTTGCAGTGCTAGTCCAGGAACTCCTTTCTCACCCTAGTGGGTCATCATCCCTGCCACTCCCCTTTGCCCTCCCTCTTCCGTTTCCTCCTCCATGGTTTCTATTGCTTCTTCTGTTCTGGAAGAGAACAACTGCCCAGGCTTTCGTGGGGGCTGGAGAGAAAACCTGGGTGCTGGGTGTGTGTGTGTCCTAAGCTATCTGCCTATTTTTAGGAAGGTGGAGAAAATACCGGAGGGCTGGGAGGTAGGGAGGGTCAGAAGATATTTGTCCCAAGCAGGAGGTACCTGTGGTGTGTTGGGGGGGTGGGGTGGGGGGAGGTGATGGGGGCAGGGAACAGTGCTGAGGGCCCAGGATGTGTCTGTTTGAGAGGCGAGTGATGCTCTGGGCATGGGATGCAGGGTTCCTCACCACTGGGCCTGACTCTCTTTCCTATCTTGCCCTCAGCTACCTTCAGTGCTGCCCTTATTCCTGGTGAGTGTGAGCAGGTGGGGTGGGGGGTACAGGCAATCTCTGTATGTCACTCTGTGGTATAGGTCAGAAGTGGGGACTGTGGTCAGAGGGCAGCTGAAGTTGAAGAGGAAGGAGAACAGGGAAGAAGAGCTTGGGGGCCGGGTATAGGAAAGCTGATGGACCTAGAGGAGGGAAGGCCTGTAGGACAGAAGGGTAAGAGCCAAGAGAACCAAAGAAATCAAGTCTAAGGGGGTGGGAGGGAAGGCCAGCAAATGGTGGAGAAAGTGAAGTAGGTAAAGGGGACAGGGACAGGGACTCACCCTGCAGTAGTTACAGTGCTGGGCTGGGGCACAGGCTTGAGAGCTTGGAGGGTTTAGAGGTCAGAAGTCACTTGTGTCTGCTGAATGACAGGAAATTCCATCCCTTCTGCCAGTGTCCCCAGACTGTGGGAAGCCTCAGCAGCTGAACCGCATCGTGGGAGGTGAGGACAGCATGGATGCCCAGTGGCCTTGGATTGTTAGCATCCTCAAGAATGGCTCCCATCACTGTGCAGGCTCCCTTCTCACCAACCGCTGGGTGGTCACTGCTGCACACTGCTTCAAGAAGTATGTGAAACCAGGCTTGCTCTTCACTCTCCAGGACCCATTCATGCTTCCTGCCTTAGGGTCTGGGCTGTCCAGGCCATTCAGGGATCTTGGTTACCACTGTAACCAGACATTGACATCTCCCTCTTCCCCTTTCCTTGCAGCAGTGTGGACAAGCCATCTCTGTTCTCAATATTGTTGGGGGCCTGGCAGCTGGAAAACCCAGGCCCAAGGTCCCAGCAAGTGGGTATTGCTTGGGTGCTGCCCCACCCCAGGTATTCTTGGAAGGAGGGAACCCGTGCAGACATCGCCCTGGTGCGCCTGGAACACCCCATCCAGTTCTCTGAGCGGATCCTGCCCATTTGCCTGCCTGACTCCTCTGTCCAGCTCCCTCCCAACACTGACTGCTGGATTGCAGGCTGGGGAAGCATCCGTGATGGAGGTGTGGTTCCCTGGTTCCCCTCTAACTCAAGGAGATTGGGGATTGCTAGAGACAGAGGGTGGATGCCACTTAGGTACAGATACCAGGGTAGGAGAGGGTAGAAGCCATGTGTACATTATAGAGACAGCAAAAGTTGAGTAGGGAACCAGAGAAGTGAAGTCACAAAAGCTCAACTGTCAAGTTTAGGTCATCTCTAGTTGAAAGGACTCTTTGGCTATCTTTTAAAGCAACAATAGTAACGGCAACAACAAAAAAGGAAGGGAGAAAAAGCCATGGGTGGTGGCCCACACCTTTAATGCCAGCCTGGTCTACAGAGTGAGTTCCAGGACAGTCAGGAGAGAGAAAAGGGGGTGAGGGTATTGGCAAAGTTATTGACACAACAATGGGTAGAAGTGGAGGGAGGGGGTGGCAAGATGGAAATGTGATCGGTGCTGCGATTTCCAAATGGGAACAGTCACCCCTGGTGGCAGCATCTCTGAATTGCAAGCAAAATTCCCAGGAGGAAATGTAGTCCCATCTCCATAAAGCACAATTTTCAAACCAATGCTATCTATAATCGCAAACCAGATGAAAGACAGAGGTAGAGAGAAGCAAAAGAAAGGCAGATGGTAGCTAGAACGACAGAGCCTGGGGTAGTCCAAACAAACAGAAATGATCTAGTAATGATAACAGCACAGACCAGGAAGGAGAAACTGGGTTTAGACAACAGGTAAACAGAGCCTTAACCTGGGCCCAGAAGAATTGCTCAGGCATGGGCAGACTCTGGAACTTTGCAGTTGCAGCCTTTTCTTGGGGGTCTACAGCTTAACTCCGGGAGGGTGTGGGACTGATGGAATTTAGAACACAGGGAATACCGGATTCACTGCCCTTTCTGGAAAACAAGAGTGGAGCCTAGAAGCACCGTTCTGTTGTGCGCCCTCAGTGGGTGTCAGGGAACTTACTGAAGACACAGGATCCATGTTTGAATTCAGTGGGTCAACAGGTGGAGAGCCTGGGCTTGGGGTTTCCCTAACACACCTTGGGAGGCTCAGTAGAGCTGATCTGTTTACCTTTGAGAAATGCTGCTGGGTGAATAGAGGGAACTTGCTGAGCACTGGGCCGACTCTCCTTCTGTTCCCAGTGCCCCTGCCCCAGCCGCAGACCCTTCAGAAGCTGAAGGTACCCATCATCGACTCAGAACTCTGCAAACGCTTATACTGGCGGGGTGCGGAGCAGGAAGCCATCACTGAGGACATGCTGTGTGCTGGTTACCTGGAAGGAGAGCGGGATGCCTGTCTGGTGAGAGCCCACCCTTTGTCCACCCCAACTGGGAGGCTCAAAAGCTCCTCCTCAGAATCTCCTGAGGGACATCCTCTCCCGTTTCTGCCTGGGCCCCTTTAGCCTGGCTATGTCGTTAATTTTCTTGTTTACAAAAAGGGTTGTGTACAGAACACCTCAGTTGTAATCTTCAGCTCGGAGCTGGTATTCTGAGGAGCGTCTGCTGGTTCAGAACCCTTGTCCTCTGGCGCCAGGCTCCTGACTGAATGAGAATAATAGGATGGTGTAGTTAGACTTGAGGTGGCCAGCACGCGGCCCGGCTGCCAATTGCCAATTGGCATAAGGCTTTCTGAGCCTGTAAAACAGAAGTGGCCTCATCTTCTGCTCCTTGAGGGGAGTACACGCCACCGGAAGTGGTTCTGTTCTGAAGGCCCGTTCTTCCAGGGCCTCCGCAGACTGCAGTCTCCAAGGACCTGGGTGCTGCACACTGCCTGCCAGTGTGGATGCCTGACTTCCCTTCTTCTCTGCAGGGCGACTCTGGGGGTCCCTTGATGTGCCAGGTAGATGACGCCTGGATACTGACTGGCATTATCAGCTGGGGAGAAGGCTGTGCGGAGCGCAACCGGCCTGGTGTCTACACTAGCCTCCTGGCTCACCGCTCCTGGGTGCAGAGGATTGTGCAAGGGGTGCAGCTGCACGGGCACTTGGCGGACAGTGGGGACACCGGGAGCTCCTAAATTGGGATCTGAAGATGAACAGCCTCTTGCTGGTCTCTCTGCTGTAAATATGTCTTCTACCTCCGGGGGGCGCCAGCGGCTTACACGGAGAGCAGGAGCAGGGAACTCCCAATTGAGGCTGGGGTGTGTGTGTGTGTGTGTGTGTGTGTGTGTGTGTGTGTGTGTGTGTGTGTGTGTGTGTGTGTGTGTGTGTGTGTATGTGTGTGTGTGCTAATGATTTTTTACAGTTATTTGTAACCATGCCATATATTTATTCCAGTTTCAATAAATTATTTATTCCCAGTTCTTGTTTTCCCCCCATATACGGGGACGCTGACCCAAGAATCCAGTTGGGACAAAAATGTTGGTGTGAAGTTGTACCTAGGCCTGGCCCACAGCTCCAGCTCGGACCCTTGGCCTATCCTTGCTCTTGTTAGCCTTTTCTCTGAGGCAGCAGGTAGGAAGGAGGCAGGAGACTGTGGCCTGAGGACCTGGCTGTGATTACTGAGGAATGCAGGGTTGGGGTCCCCACTAAAACAGGGCTAGGAGAAGCTTATTTCTCTGGGAATGGGGATTAGCTCATCTTGAGGCCAGATTGGGCCTCTCCAGCAAGACTCAGAGTGAGCTGTACTTGAAGCAAACTGTCTGGGCCAGCCTCTATCAGACATAGCCTCCCTGATTTGGGTGAGCACCTACACCTGTGCAGCTGATTCATCCGTGACTGTCCACTGACTCCATAAATTCCTCTTCACCAAGGAGGTTCAAAACACTCAGGCAGCAGGCTTGAGTCACCTCGCCTGTCCCCTTGGGGGATGGAGGAGTATGATGACAGCATGATGCAGGCCGTGAGAGGGTCTGTGGCTTCCATAATGTTATGGACTAATGTCTGCTGCCCCCCACCCCTGCAGCTCAGACCCGGATTCCTCTAGCCATCGGTGCCCTTTCCCCAGGCCAGGCTTGGCTTCCTCACAGCTCATCTGTGAGGTGACTGGGCCATAGAGGCTGGTTGAGTGTGGGCTTCATAGTGGTTGATACCTAGAGAGTCACCCAAAACAAAGATCAGAAACCAGTCAGCTGCAACAGGTGACTCAGACAACTTTGCCAGTGTCTCCTACCAGCAATGACAGAGGTGACACATGCATGGGAACTCTGCCCAGGTTTGTGTGTGCTCTCTACTTTGCAGACACTCCAGTTCTGAAACGCTTGCTGCCATTGTTCCATGCACAAACATCAAAGGTGGCATCCAGGGCCTCTTAGTCTGAGGCAAGCTCCCCCACCACCAACAAGCTGCACCTGTCCTGTGTTGTTTTGATTTTTTTCTTTTATTGTTAGAAAGCAATAAATGTTGTTTAAAAACAAACCGCACAAGCTGGCCACCTGCTTGTAAGGGCTGCAGCCTGGGAATGCTTGGTGATTCAGGTGCCCCAGGTCCCTACACATGCCTGGCCACAACTTCTTCTCTTGTGACCTAGTGCCCTCTATCTGCAATTGCCCCCTTACCTCCCCTCCCCCCCATCTCCCAGCCCTCCCTTGCTCCCCCCCCCACTATTTCCTGCTGCTTCTATCCTCGAGCCTTACCCATCTCTACTCCACCACCTTCATTTGCAGAGCTGGCAGTTATCTTGCTGTCAGAGCCCTCACCCCCTTCCCGCCTTGGTTCTTGCTGGCTCTTTTATTCTTCTCTTTCTCTGTTTTCCCCTTTTTGTCCTGTTTCTATCCTTTTCACCTTTACTCGGATCTTTTTTTCCCCAGGCCTGTGTGTCCATCCCTCACATCCTCTCTCAATATCACCCTACTGAAGTCCCAAGGCCCCCAGTCAAGGGGTAATGCTCAGGTAAGATGGTGGTGGCCTTTGTCTATGGGAAGTCAGCCTTCACCTTTTCCCTAAGCACAGTATCAGTCATGAGTGTCCCAGCAGCATCGTTACCAGTCTTCAATAGGCCAAACAAACAAAGAAGAGATAAGGGAATTTCCCAATGTGGTCACCCCGAGAAGAAAAATAAATAAGGAAAGCTGGTGCCCCTAAGGCCATTTTTAGTTTAAATGATATTTTAATGATATTTAGGTTTAAATAGAGGGCAAGAGATATGATATCCTGGTCAAAATGTGATCCCATCAGTGGCGAGGGGACATAGACACACTGCCTCATTGTCCTCTTCAGCAGCCTGAATCCCCTGATCTTTCTTAGAAATAAATCAAATAATTAGCTAATTAATTGTGTGTGTATATGTATGTAGGTGCATGAATGTCATAGGGCATTTTTCTGGGTGTTGAGTCTCTCCTTCCACCTTAAACTCAAGTCAGCAGGCTGGCAAAGCAATCGCTTCTATCCACTGATCTGTCTCACCAGCCTGGGGTTCTCTAATCTATTAGGGACCTTGATGCCAAACCAGGATTCATGGTTTTAAGGCTGAAAATAATTTCAAGACTAGATGGTATTAATGAAACAGAGTTGAGATCTCCTATTTTAGAGATTTGCTTGTTTATTTTATGTATACAGTGTTTGTCTGCTTGTGTCTGCTGTGTATCACATGCATGCAGAGCCCACAAGGGCTAGAAGAGGGCGTTTGAACCCTCTGGAACTGGAACAGACACTTGTGAACCACCATGAGGATGCTGGGGAAACAAGAGCTCTTAACCAGTGAGCCATCTCTCTAGCCCAGGGATTTCATTAAAGATATGTTGGTATAGACTTTAAATATTTATGTTAAGAGAGAAAGAATTCCTCAGAAGAAAGTAAGATACACTGTGGCTTCTCAGAAGTCATAGAAAAGTAATACACTCAACAGGGACAGTTTCAACTGGCTGTCTTAGTGTTGGCCATTTTCAAAAGGTTGCTAAGAAGCCCCAGATCCCTGTATACACTCTTAATCGCTTATGATAATTGGAATTATAGGGGGCTCTGGTGATGGTGTAACAATAAGCCCCAATGGGCTTCACTGAATGGGATTTCTGGAGACATTCCTAGTTTACAGCTGTGAAGGGAGAAAGTTAGTTCTCAGTTGTGCTGGTTTCTTGTGCTCTGGCTGGCAAGAGGCCTCCTCTAGGTTTCTGAGTGAGGAGCTCCTCTCCCTTTTCATGAGCCTCATAATTTCCATGCTTTCAGTCCTGCCCCAGTTTCTCGGTCAACATGGCCTGACCAACTGGAAAAGCTGTGTGAGTGAATTCTCTTTGCCAGAGACATGCCCTGACTGGCACCAGGTTTTTGTTTTTTGCTTTTGCCAGCATGAGATTCCTGGCAAAATCCCCATTTCTCAAGTCCAGTAGTCTGATAGTCAAAGGCAAGGGCACAAGTTTCTCTTTAGAGTATCTTCTTTCCTGCCAAGATGATTACAGCAGGAGGGGTCCTAGGGGACCAGGGCTCCAGGGAAATCTAGGATGTGAAGAGGGAGCTGGTGGCTAGTTCATGAGTGTACTGGGATTTTTTTGACTCCTCCCCACACAGGTGATTCTCTAGCAAGTGTCCCATGTCCTACACAGTCCATCATTTCCAGGGCTCCTGCTCCTGGGCACATGCCCAGATCAAAGTGCTAGGCCATATCTTCAGGCCTCACTGTACACATGGGACTCTGGCCCAAGAAGGGCTTGCCCTGAGCATGTCCTGCTCTGGATAAGGGACCATAAAACTCACTGGGGCTTCGGATGGAGGCCTTGGGCTATTGAGCAGTCTCAGAGGGTTGAGCCCCTGACTAGCAAATGTGCCTTTCCTTCAGCCAGCTCTGAAATCCTCTCCAGTACTGGGTGGAGACCTTCTGGCCTGTGACAAAAGTCAACACAGTAAGAACACTGTCTGCAGTGGCCCTGAGGTTTGGGGGGGGGGGGCTCCACACTCTGCTCCTGCATGCTCCTATCCCCTACTCCTCTCCTGGTGTTTTCCTTGAATTATGAACTCTTGAGGGGAACTTCCCTCCAACCCAGTGCAAAGTTTGGTTGCAAGGCTTCTCTGATAAAAAGGACATACTCATCTGGGACATCCATTCCCATCAGTTTACCTTCAGTCATGGATGCAGACAAATGTCTAAATGTCAGCAGTTGTCTTCTAACCATGAGGTTACAAGATGGCATCTGTGACACTTACCTCAATTGTGAATTTGGTGAGCTCTAGCATCCCCTGGGAGATGGGCCTCTGAGGATGCATTGGGGATGTTATCTTGGGTGAGCTGAGGTGGGAAGGTCTGCCTGTTGTGGGTGGCACTGCTCCTGGGCTGGGCTCCTGGACAGTGTAAGTGTGTGGAGGGTAAGTGGAGTAAATGACTTGACATCTTGACATTTATTGCTCTGTGCTCTCTACCATGTGACCAGCTGCTTCAAGAGTTTCCCCCACAGTTTCCTCCACCAAGTTGGACTGTAACCTCAAACTGGGTTGGAAAATAAGCCCTTTCTCCCTTGGATTTCTTTGATCAGGTAATTTGCCACAAAGAGGAAAGTGACTAATACAACAACCTAATGGCAGTGAACAAAGTTGCCAAAGCCATGGGGTGAGATGATGCATTTGGATGCAGCCTTCGCCCTAGGGAGCTCCCTGCTGTCTGCCTTCCTTTCCTTAAGCTACACCCAGTTGTTGGTGTAAAGCTGATAGCATGATCCGATCTATGGCACAGATATGAATACTTTGTTTTAGAATAGATTTGCATTTATTGATATAACTTAAGTCAATTTTGTAATATGTATATTTCTCCTCTTGTTTAGGTATTGTGTTTATAAAGCTCATTTAGAAATGTAATATATAATGTAGTACAGATTATAGATAATTACCTATAATAGTCAAAACTTAGAGTTAAGTTAGTTAGGTTTTGGAGATGTATTTGAGATAAATAGGCATTCTTCAAACCTTTCAAAGACATACAGAATATGGCACTTAAAATGGTTTAGGGTTTTTCTTGACAGTGAGACATAAATGCTCCTGCAACACCACCTGCATCAGAAAGGAAGATGGACATTGAATAAACACGTTATGGAGTTTGCTTCCAATATGGCAAGACTAGCCATTTGGACAAGATACTGCTCTTGTCTGGACTGTTTGACTTCATGGTGTATAAACTGGACATGCAGAACCCACAGGAAAGTGACTGCTGATTCAAGATGGACACTGCTACAGAGTTCCTGCTTCATGGAAGAGTCTGCCAGACATTCTGCAGGACACAGAGAAAAGTGACTGACAAACTGCCAACACAGGCAGACAGTTTAAAGTTTCCTGCTTTGCTGAGGAATCTGCCAGACACACTATGGCCTATGGGCTGAAGATGGAAGATTACAGATGAACTTCAGGTGACTGACCAGGCAGTGAGTTGTCTCTGTCATTT